ATTCCAACCTCGTATCTAGCTCTTCCTCCTGAGGCACAGAATAAGGCTGTGTGGCGTCAGGGTCATCTGAAGAACCCTGGGAGCTTGGTACCGCCGACCGCTGTGTCAATACAACTTCAGAAAACACGCCACCAGAAGGAGCACGACCTTTACGCGGTGGCATTGGATGAGAAGCCTTGCGTGAAGACATCATGGAGACTTTTTTCTTTTTTTTGAAATAAGCAAAGAGGAATGAGGAAAGAATGCAACATGAACTCACCAACTCCATCGCCATTCATTCACCCATCCTCATCCACATGATCTGCATGAACCGCATGACCGGTAATTTTAACCAATCAGACATCACCACATCAATTTTTTTTTATTTATTATTTTATTTATTTCTCCTCTCTTCTCTTCGTTTCCTTTATCTCCATCAATTTTTTTTTTCTCTTTTCTTCTTCGATTTATGATCTCCTTCATTTTCGACGGGAAGGATGCAAACGTGTTATACAATACTGAACTCAAACCTTTGAGGAGGGCTCAACTATCACGCGCACCCCAGGCGCCAAGACGCCAAGCCCAAGTGCCAAGACACCAAGCCCCAACCCTATCAATTATCAGTATAAATAGTCCACTACGTTATAGCCAAATAAAGTATCCTTTGACCTTCGATTCCACCTAAGATCAACTTTGATTGTTACTATTTATGGTGCGTGCCAAAACTGATGCAATAATTTGCATTTTTTAACATTCATTCCTCATTCTCCTTTTCCTTTCTAATGATCTTCCCTACCATCACCGCTTCTCATTCTCATTTGTCTCACCTTCGTAGACTGTCATCGCTGTTCTCATCAATGACGCAATTAGCGAATAATCGCCATTTGTATAGTCATGTCTCATTGCATCAGTTTTGGTAAAAAGTACATGTCAGGTTTGTCCATCCCTTACTTCTTTCTTATTCTTTATTCTTTCTTTATAGCACCATCACCACTGATACACCAAGCGACACTCTACATATCTGCCATATCTTTATCATAACATGAAATCATTATCCAAATCAACTATCCAAAATGCAACTGCTCTACTTCATCAGGGAAAGTCTTCCAGAGAAGTGTCAAAGAGTTTAGGGATATCTGTTACCTCAGCTCAAAGGATTAGGAAAAGAGGCAAAGAAAGTATTCCAGTGCTGAGAGGGGGCCGACCCTGCAAAGTTACTAAGAAAACGAAACAGCTTTTATCAAGATTTTTTGACATGGGTGTATTGGAGACCCTAAAAGATGGCCAACAACTTGTTCAATTGAGGGAAGGAGTGCAGGTTAGTAAATCGAGCATCAGGAGGTTCCTTATGCAGGATGATATGGGGGCATATGTAAAACAGAAGCAGCCTGATCTGACGAAGAAGCAAATCTATGCTCGATATAATTTTGCAAAGGATCACTTGGACTGGACTCTAGAAGACTGGAAGAACGTCATGTTCTCAGATGAGACCATCTTTAGCAGAGTTGGGTCCTGCGGAAGAAAGTACTACTACAAGCATCGATGGGATAAAACTCTACGAGCACATCATATCAAAAAGACAAGGCAAGGTGGCGGAGGGAAAATGATGTTCTGGGGTTGTATAACTTACTACGGACCAGGCGATGGCTGCTGGCTCCAAGAGAAGGTGGATTCGGTAACATACGTCGACGTTCTCAAGGATTATATCTTTAAGTCCAGGGATTACTACTTGATGGATAAGGACAAATTTATATTTCAGCAGGACAATGCTAGGATTCATACCGGAAGAATAGCAATGACCTATATCCAAAAGTCTAAGATACCTCTCATGGAATGGCCAGCAAACTCTCCTGACATCAACCCAATAGAAAACATATGGGTATACATGAAGGTGCAGTTGGATCATTATCCAGACAAGGCAAAGAATATGGAGGATCTCTGGGAGAGAGTCCAAGACGTATGGACACATATCCCTCCTGAATTCTTACACAAACTATACTGCGGTATGCCGAAGAGGATGAGGGAGTTATATAAGGCTAAAGGAGGGAACATCGTTAGGGGAAAGGAGAAGTAACAGGAATAAATAAAAACAAGAAGTTGTTAATTGCCATAATAGATGCAATGAGATGCTGAAAGCAAATTGCAATTAAATGCTAATTAGGCCACTGATGGCGATGACGATGAGACTCCATGGAGGTGAGACAAATGAGAATGAGAAACGGTGGTGGCAGGGAAGATCATAAAGAGGAAGAAGGAGAATGAGGAATGAATGTTGAAAAATGCAATTTATTGCATCAGTTTTGGCACGCACTATACAATATTTCCATTCCCATGTCCCATTTCTTTTTCTCATTCCTAGAAACCGTATATGCATACACCACTCACACTTTGGTTTAATAAAGCTCCTGTCTTCTTCTACGTCATAGTTATGCGCTGTGGCAGTAGCTTGTCTCATTTAGAAAGTTAATGACTTTTTTGTTCATGCAGGTCTCTCTTTCAGTTTTGCATGTGGTCTCAAATATTGCCCATGACAACATCTGGTCGTCATTAAATGCAAATAAAAGAAGGACTTTCTCTCTTTCCTTTATGAACACTTGCTTAACTCTCTCTTAACTACACCTTCACAGAATATGAGACCCACTCCACAAAGGAAAGTCAACGAAGCCAGGAGGTTAATGATGGCAGGCATATCTACTAGAGAACAGTGCTCCTTATTCGGTTTAAAATTTTGTCAATTATGATGTTTCAGATTAAAAAAATAAATATCAATTGACAAAATTTTAAACCGAATAGGAGCACTGCTAGAGAAGCTGCTGCTAGTGTCGGTATATCACAATGGACGGCCAACAAGATCTATGCAAAGAATAAAGAGTATATGCCAGTCAATAAAGGCGGTCGACCAAGGAAAGTGCCTAGAGATATCATGCAGTAACTTAAGGTGAACATGAAACGAGGTACACTCAAATCTGCAGTTGAGGCCACCGTCAGAGCCAACCAGCTCATACCAGCGGCTGTTTCTGAGACCACCGTTAGACGACGGCTCAAGGAGTTAGGATTGACAGCAAAGAGGCGTGTACGTAGGCCAGCTCTACGGCGAAGACATATTAAAGCCCGTTTGCATTTTCTCAACAAGTATAAGGAATGGACTCTGGAAGATTGGAAAAAGGTTATTTGGTCAGATGAATCGAAAATAAACCGAATCTGTTCTGATGGCGTACAGTGGATCTGGGACGACACTCCGGCGGGTCGGTGCATGGCACTGTCAAGTTTGTGGGTGGTAATCTTAAAGTGTGGCCATGTTTCTCATGGTACGGGCCTGGATACATTGCAAAGATTGACAATAATATGGACGCACAACTTTACATCAAACTACTCAGCCATCAACGGTCAGTGATACCTTGTTAATATCCTCAAATAAGCTTATGACTTGATGCTCCATGTATTGGTATTTTAGCTTAGCCTATTTTTAATCCATCTTTTTGTCAGTGTTTGGCTGATGTTTGCTATAAAAAAAAAATAATAATTGAAGAGTAATAATAATAATAATAATAATCATAATCATAGTAATAATAGTTTTACCTTGGTTGCCATGGTGTCATCAGACGGTAGCTTTACTTGAGATGCTGTAGCCATTGTAGCATGGACTAGAAGCTCCTGGAGAGCAGTGCTTTTGACAATCGTAAATGGCTGTTTTGTTGTGATAACGAATCGGACAAGCAATTCGTCAAATCTCGTAGGGTCAAATACTTTTGGCTGAGAAAATGAATTAAGCATCTTGTCCATCGGGCCTTGTGCTTGGAGAGACTGCCATCATTGGCATTGCTATCTTTAGTGATGCGATGTACTCGCCACAGATGCTGGATGACCCCTGAAGTTGACATATTCGATGAACCAAAGGTTTTCCCGCAGCTAGGGTAACAGCAGCGCATACCAGAGCCACTCTTAGTTTTAACACGCTCGGCCCACTTGTTCTTCAGTGACCACGCCCAGCTTCCATTGATCGCCGTGCTGCTTGCCACGCTGGAGCTTCCCACGTTCCTCGTCACTAAGCTCTCATTCATCACGCTGCCGCTCATCACGCTCTCCATATCCATATCGTTGTCAGGTGCGTCAAAGCTGGCAGACATAGAAGTGTTACCAACGTCATAAACCTTAAGTTCATGTATGATAAAATTGCAATGGAGGTATTAATTTAAACATTAAGGTTAAATTTTTTCCTTCTTTTCTTAATACAAAGTAATATGGCAAATGTATTCAATATATACTTCTTCTTCTTCCTCCTCGATAATTCGACGACGTCGTTTACTCATTTTAAGAGATGTTTTGGGCTGAATTGAGATAATGCATGAAAAGGAAAAGAGAGAAAAAAAAAAAAAAAAAGGAAAAGGAAAGGAAATGAGGCGAACTGAAGCGAATGCAAACACATTTGTTGTCCTGATGCCGCAGTTGAGTATTTAAGTATAACGCACCAGATATCTCGCACTCGTTGTTAGGCTTTATTTTCTATAAACATGTGTTTTAACCTTATCTTCATGGTAATATTTTTCTTAATCCACGATTAAAATCCACATTTTGATTAAGAGTGCCGTGAGAAAAAATTTATAAAAATTTTAATCGGTTTATCAATGTACCGAATGACTCGGTATATCAAATGAATTGAATCGGTACAATCGAGGCACCGAATGATTCGGTTTACCGAATGCATCGAATATTCGACACATTCGATTCGGTTTCGACAATATATATTCATTCGGTTTCGATTCGATATGAACCTTACCTTGGTCAATTCAATTTCGGTTCGAAGGTGTATTGAATCGAATGTACCGATTAGGAGCACTGTGCTCAACTCGACACGTTTGTGAAGTGTTTACATTCATCCGCCCACGAGGCCCTATACTCACCTGGACGCGTTTGGGGAAGTGTTTTGTTATTTTGTTTGGACTTGTAAAAAAATAAAAAAAAGTGTTTGCCCCTCGTCCGCCACAGTTAATGGGGTGGTCGGGAAGTCTAATGAAGCCTTTATGGATCTCAGCCCATGGCTAAAACGTATTCAGACAATCCAGAACTCGCTAAGTATGCATACTGGCGCTCCAGGAGGGGGTCAGTGTACAAACGCACGAGCATGCTCAACTCGACGCATTTGTGAAGTGTTTGCACCTCTTCCGCCAGCGGTCCAAAGAAGCGTGTATGTGTCTCAGCGTATGACTACAACGTATTCACACCACCCAGAACCCGCTAAGTATGCATACTGGCGCTCCAGGAGGGGGTCAGTGTACAAACGCACGAGCATGCTCAACTCGACACGTTTGTGAAGTGTTTACATTCATCCGCCCACGAGGCCCTATACTCACCTGGACGCGTTTGGGGAAGTGTTTTGTTATTTTGTTTGGACTTGTAAAAAAATAAAAAAAAGTGTTTGCCCCTCGTCCGCCACAGTTAATGGGGTGGTCGGGAAGTCTAATGAAGCCTTTATGGATCTCAGCCCATGGCTAAAACGTATTCAGACAATCCAGAACTCGCTAAGTATGCATACTGGCGCTCCAGGAGGGGGTCAGTGTACAAACGCACGAGCATGCTCAACTCGACGCATTTGTGAAGTGTTTGCACCTCTTCCGCCAGCGGTCCAAAGAAGCGTGTATGTGTCTCAGCGTATGACTACAACGTATTCACACCACCCAGAACCCGCTAAGTATGCATACTGGCGCTCCAGGAGGGGGTCAGTGTACAAACGCACGAGCATGCTCAACTCGACGCATTTGTGAAGTGTTTGCACCTCTTCCGCCAGCGGTCCAAAGAAGCGTGTATGTGTCTCAGCGTATGACTACAACGTATTCACACCACCCAGAACCCGCTAAGTATGCATACTGGCGCTCCAGGAGGGGGTCAGTGTACAAACGCACGAGCATGCTCAACTCGACACGTTTGTGAAGTGTTTACATTCATCCGCCCACGAGGCCCTATACTCACCTGGACGCGTTTGGGGAAGTGTTTTGTTATTTTGTTTGGACTTGTAAAAAAATAAAAAAAAGTGTTTGCCCCTCGTCCGCCACAGTTAATGGGGTGGTCGGGAAGTCTAATGAAGCCTTTATGGATCTCAGCCCATGGCTAAAACGTATTCAGACAATCCAGAACTCGCTAAGTATGCATACTGGCGCTCCAGGAGGGGGTCAGTGTACAAACGCACGAGCATGCTCAACTCGACGCATTTGTGAAGTGTTTGCACCTCTTCCGCCAGCGGTCCAAAGAAGCGTGTATGTGTCTCAGCGTATGACTACAACGTATTCACACCACCCAGAACCCGCTAAGTATGCATACTGGCGCTCCAGGAGGGGGTCAGTGTACAAACGCACGAGCATGCTCAACTCGACACGTTTGTGAAGTGTTTACATTCATCCGCCCACGAGGCCCTATACTCACCTGGACGCGTTTGGGGAAGTGTTTTGTTATTTTGTTTGGACTTGTAAAAAAATAAAAAAAAGTGTTTGCCCCTCGTCCGCCACAGTTAATGGGGTGGTCGGGAAGTCTAATGAAGCCTTTATGGATCTCAGCCCATGGCTAAAACGTATTCAGACAATCCAGAACTCGCTAAGTATGCATACTGGCGCTCCAGGAGGGGGTCAGTGTACAAACGCACGAGCATGCTCAACTCGACCGTTTGTGAAGTGTTTACATTCATCCGCCACGAGGCCCTATACTCACCTGGACGCGTTTGGGAAGTGTTTTGTTATTTTGTTTGGACTTGTAAAAAAATAAAAAAAGTGTTTGCCCCTCGTCCGCCACAGTTAATGGGGTGGTCGGGAAGTCTAATGAAGCCTTTATGGATCTCAGCCCATGGCTAAAACGTATTCAGACAATCCAGAACTCGCTAAGTATGCATACTGGCGCTCCAGGAGGGGGTCAGTGTACAAACGCACGAGCATGCTCAACTCGACGCATTTGTGAAGTGTTTGCACCTCTTCCGCCAGCGGTCCAAAGAAGCGTGTATGTGTCTCAGCGTATGACTACAACGTATTCACACCACCCAGAACCCGCTAAGTATGCATACTGGCGCTCCAGGAGGGGGTCAGTGTACAAACGCACGAGCATGCTCAACTCGACGCATTTGTGAAGTGTTTGCACCTCTTCCGCCAGCGGTCCAAAGAAGCGTGTATGTGTCTCAGCGTATGACTACAACGTATTCACACCACCCAGAACCCGCTAAGTATGCATACTGGCGCTCCAGGAGGGGGTCAGTGTACAAACGCACGAGCATGCTCAACTCGACACGTTTGTGAAGTGTTTACATTCATCCGCCCACGAGGCCCTATACTCACCTGGACGCGTTTGGGGAAGTGTTTTGTTATTTTGTTTGGACTTGTAAAAAAATAAAAAAAAGTGTTTGCCCCTCGTCCGCCACAGTTAATGGGGTGGTCGGGAAGTCTAATGAAGCCTTTATGGATCTCAGCCCATGGCTAAAACGTATTCAGACAATCCAGAACTCGCTAAGTATGCATACTGGCGCTCCAGGAGGGGGTCAGTGTACAAACGCACGAGCATGCTCAACTCGACGCATTTGTGAAGTGTTTGCACCTCTTCCGCCAGCGGTCCAAAGAAGCGTGTATGTGTCTCAGCGTATGACTACAACGTATTCACACCACCCAGAACCCGCTAAGTATGCATACTGGCGCTCCAGGAGGGGGTCAGTGTACAAACGCACGAGCATGCTCAACTCGACGCATTTGTGAAGTGTTTGCACCTCTTCCGCCAGCGGTCCAAAGAAGCGTGTATGTGTCTCAGCGTATGACTACAACGTATTCACACCACCCAGAACCCGCTAAGTATGCATACTGGCGCTCCAGGAGGGGGTCAGTGTACAAACGCACGAGCATGCTCAACTCGACACGTTTGTGAAGTGTTTACATTCATCCGCCCACGAGGCCCTATACTCACCTGGACGCGTTTGGGGAAGTGTTTTGTTATTTTGTTTGGACTTGTAAAAAAATAAAAAAAAGTGTTTGCCCCTCGTCCGCCACAGTTAATGGGGTGGTCGGGAAGTCTAATGAAGCCTTTATGGATCTCAGCCCATGGCTAAAACGTATTCAGACAATCCAGAACTCGCTAAGTATGCATACTGGCGCTCCAGGAGGGGGTCAGTGTACAAACGCACGAGCATGCTCAACTCGACGCATTTGTGAAGTGTTTGCACCTCTTCCGCCAGCGGTCCAAAGAAGCGTGTATGTGTCTCAGCGTATGACTACAACGTATTCACACCACCCAGAACCCGCTAAGTATGCATACTGGCGCTCCAGGAGGGGGTCAGTGTACAAACGCACGAGCATGCTCAACTCGACGCATTTGTGAAGTGTTTGCACCTCTTCCGCCAGCGGTCCAAAGAAGCGTGTATGTGTCTCAGCGTATGACTACAACGTATTCACACCACCCAGAACCCGCTAAGTATGCATACTGGCGCTCCAGGAGGGGGTCAGTGTACAAACGCACGAGCATGCTCAACTCGACACGTTTGTGAAGTGTTTACATTCATCCGCCCACGAGGCCCTATACTCACCTGGACGCGTTTGGGGAAGTGTTTTGTTATTTTGTTTGGACTTGTAAAAAAATAAAAAAAAGTGTTTGCCCCTCGTCCGCCACAGTTAATGGGGTGGTCGGGAAGTCTAATGAAGCCTTTATGGATCTCAGCCCATGGCTAAAACGTATTCAGACAATCCAGAACTCGCTAAGTATGCATACTGGCGCTCCAGGAGGGGGTCAGTGTACAAACGCACGAGCATGCTCAACTCGACGCATTTGTGAAGTGTTTGCACCTCTTCCGCCAGCGGTCCAAAGAAGCGTGTATGTGTCTCAGCGTATGACTACAACGTATTCACACCACCCAGAACCCGCTAAGTATGCATACTGGCGCTCCAGGAGGGGGTCAGTGTACAAACGCACGAGCATGCTCAACTCGACGCATTTGTGAAGTGTTTGCACCTCTTCCGCCAGCGGTCCAAAGAAGCGTGTATGTGTCTCAGCGTATGACTACAACGTATTCACACCACCCAGAACCCGCTAAGTATGCATACTGGCGCTCCAGGAGGGGGTCAGTGTACAAACGCACGAGCATGCTCAACTCGACACGTTTGTGAAGTGTTTACATTCATCCGCCCACGAGGCCCTATACTCACCTGGACGCGTTTGGGGAAGTGTTTTGTTATTTTGTTTGGACTTGTAAAAAAATAAAAAAAAGTGTTTGCCCCTCGTCCGCCACAGTTAATGGGGTGGTCGGGAAGTCTAATGAAGCCTTTATGGATCTCAGCCCATGGCTAAAACGTATTCAGACAATCCAGAACTCGCTAAGTATGCATACTGGCGCTCCAGGAGGGGGTCAGTGTACAAACGCACGAGCATGCTCAACTCGACGCATTTGTGAAGTGTTTGCACCTCTTCCGCCAGCGGTCCAAAGAAGCGTGTATGTGTCTCAGCGTATGACTACAACGTATTCACACCACCCAGAACCCGCTAAGTATGCATACTGGCGCTCCAGGAGGGGGTCAGTGTACAAACGCACGAGCATGCTCAACTCGACACGTTTGTGAAGTGTTTACATTCATCCGCCCACGAGGCCCTATACTCACCTGGACGCGTTTGGGGAAGTGTTTTGTTATTTTGTTTGGACTTGTAAAAAAATAAAAAAAAGTGTTTGCCCCTCGTCCGCCACAGTTAATGGGGTGGTCGGGAAGTCTAATGAAGCCTTTATGGATCTCAGCCCATGGCTAAAACGTATTCAGACAATCCAGAACTCGCTAAGTATGCATACTGGCGCTCCAGGAGGGGGTCAGTGTACAAACGCACGAGCATGCTCAACTCGACGCATTTGTGAAGTGTTTGCACCTCTTCCGCCAGCGGTCCAAAGAAGCGTGTATGTGTCTCAGCGTATGACTACAACGTATTCACACCACCCAGAACCCGCTAAGTATGCATACTGGCGCTCCAGGAGGGGGTCAGTGTACAAACGCACGAGCATGCTCAACTCGACACGTTTGTGAAGTGTTTACATTCATCCGCCCACGAGGCCCTATACTCACCTGGACGCGTTTGGGGAAGTGTTTTGTTATTTTGTTTGGACTTGTAAAAAAATAAAAAAAAGTGTTTGCCCCTCGTCCGCCACAGTTAATGGGGTGGTCGGGAAGTCTAATGAAGCCTTTATGGATCTCAGCCCATGGCTAAAACGTATTCAGACAATCCAGAACTCGCTAAGTATGCATACTGGCGCTCCAGGAGGGGGTCAGTGTACAAACGCACGAGCATGCTCAACTCGACGCATTTGTGAAGTGTTTGCACCTCTTCCGCCAGCGGTCCAAAGAAGCGTGTATGTGTCTCAGCGTATGACTACAACGTATTCACACCACCCAGAACCCGCTAAGTATGCATACTGGCGCTCCAGGAGGGGGTCAGTGTACAAACGCACGAGCATGCTCAACTCGACGCGTTTGTGAAGTGTTTACATCATCCGCCACGAGCCTATACTCACCGGACGCGTTGGGAAGTGTTGTTATTTGTTGGACTGTAAAAAAAAAAAAGTGTTGCCCTCGTCCGCCAGTAATGGTGTCGTCTAATGCTTATGTCTCAGCCATGCTAAACGTATTCACAATCCAGAACCGCTAAGTATGCATACTGGCGCTCCAGGAGGGGGTCAGTGTACAAACGCACGAGCATGCTCAACTCGACACGTTTGTGAAGTGTTTACATTCATCCGCCCACGAGGCCCTATACTCACCTGGACGCGTTTGGGGAAGTGTTTTGTTATTTTGTTTGGACTTGTAAAAAAATAAAAAAAAGTGTTTGCCCCTCGTCCGCCACAGTTAATGGGGTGGTCGGGAAGTCTAATGAAGCCTTTATGGATCTCAGCCCATGGCTAAAACGTATTCAGACAATCCAGAACTCGCTAAGTATGCATACTGGCGCTCCAGGAGGGGGTCAGTGTACAAACGCACGAGCATGCTCAACTCGACGCATTTGTGAAGTGTTTGCACCTCTTCCGCCAGCGGTCCAAAGAAGCGTGTATGTGTCTCAGCGTATGACTACAACGTATTCACACCACCCAGAACCCGCTAAGTATGCATACTGGCGCTCCAGGAGGGGGTCAGTGTACAAACGCACGAGCATGCTCAACTCGACGCATTTGTGAAGTGTTTGCACCTCTTCCGCCAGCGGTCCAAAGAAGCGTGTATGTGTCTCAGCGTATGACTACAACGTATTCACACCACCCAGAACCCGCTAAGTATGCATACTGGCGCTCCAGGAGGGGGTCAGTGTACAAACGCACGAGCATGCTCAACTCGACACGTTTGTGAAGTGTTTACATTCATCCGCCCACGAGGCCCTATACTCACCTGGACGCGTTTGGGGAAGTGTTTTGTTATTTTGTTTGGACTTGTAAAAAAATAAAAAAAAGTGTTTGCCCCTCGTCCGCCACAGTTAATGGGGTGGTCGGGAAGTCTAATGAAGCCTTTATGGATCTCAGCCCATGGCTAAAACGTATTCAGACAATCCAGAACTCGCTAAGTATGCATACTGGCGCTCCAGGAGGGGGTCAGTGTACAAACGCACGAGCATGCTCAACTCGACGCATTTGTGAAGTGTTTGCACCTCTTCCGCCAGCGGTCCAAAGAAGCGTGTATGTGTCTCAGCGTATGACTACAACGTATTCACACCACCCAGAACCCGCTAAGTATGCATACTGGCGCTCCAGGAGGGGGTCAGTGTACAAACGCACGAGCATGCTCAACTCGACGCATTTGTGAAGTGTTTGCACCTCTTCCGCCAGCGGTCCAAAGAAGCGTGTATGTGTCTCAGCGTATGACTACAACGTATTCACACCACCCAGAACCCGCTAAGTATGCATACTGGCGCTCCAGGAGGGGGTCAGTGTACAAACGCACGAGCATGCTCAACTCGACACGTTTGTGAAGTGTTTACATTCATCCGCCCACGAGGCCCTATACTCACCTGGACGCGTTTGGGGAAGTGTTTTGTTATTTTGTTTGGACTTGTAAAAAAATAAAAAAAAGTGTTTGCCCCTCGTCCGCCACAGTTAATGGGGTGGTCGGGAAGTCTAATGAAGCCTTTATGGATCTCAGCCCATGGCTAAAACGTATTCAGACAATCCAGAACTCGCTAAGTATGCATACTGGCGCTCCAGGAGGGGGTCAGTGTACAAACGCACGAGCATGCTCAACTCGACGCATTTGTGAAGTGTTTGCACCTCTTCCGCCAGCGGTCCAAAGAAGCGTGTATGTGTCTCAGCGTATGACTACAACGTATTCACACCACCCAGAACCCGCTAAGTATGCATACTGGCGCTCCAGGAGGGGGTCAGTGTACAAACGCACGAGCATGCTCAACTCGACGCATTTGTGAAGTGTTTGCACCTCTTCCGCCAGCGGTCCAAAGAAGCGTGTATGTGTCTCAGCGTATGACTACAACGTATTCACACCACCCAGAACCCGCTAAGTATGCATACTGGCGCTCCAGGAGGGGGTCAGTGTACAAACGCACGAGCATGCTCAACTCGACACGTTTGTGAAGTGTTTACATTCATCCGCCCACGAGGCCCTATACTCACCTGGACGCGTTTGGGGAAGTGTTTTGTTATTTTGTTTGGACTTGTAAAAAAATAAAAAAAAGTGTTTGCCCCTCGTCCGCCACAGTTAATGGGGTGGTCGGGAAGTCTAATGAAGCCTTTATGGATCTCAGCCCATGGCTAAAACGTATTCAGACAATCCAGAACTCGCTAAGTATGCATACTGGCGCTCCAGGAGGGGGTCAGTGTACAAACGCACGAGCATGCTCAACTCGACGCATTTGTGAAGTGTTTGCACCTCTTCCGCCAGCGGTCCAAAGAAGCGTGTATGTGTCTCAGCGTATGACTACAACGTATTCACACCACCCAGAACCCGCTAAGTATGCATACTGGCGCTCCAGGAGGGGGTCAGTGTACAAACGCACGAGCATGCTCAACTCGACGCATTTGTGAAGTGTTTGCACCTCTTCCGCCAGCGGTCCAAAGAAGCGTGTATGTGTCTCAGCGTATGACTACAACGTATTCACACCACCCAGAACCCGCTAAGTATGCATACTGGCGCTCCAGGAGGGGGTCAGTGTACAAACGCACGAGCATGCTCAACTCGACACGTTTGTGAAGTGTTTACATTCATCCGCCCACGAGGCCCTATACTCACCTGGACGCGTTTGGGGAAGTGTTTTGTTATTTTGTTTGGACTTGTAAAAAAATAAAAAAAAGTGTTTGCCCCTCGTCCGCCACAGTTAATGGGGTGGTCGGGAAGTCTAATGAAGCCTTTATGGATCTCAGCCCATGGCTAAAACGTATTCAGACAATCCAGAACTCGCTAAGTATGCATACTGGCGCTCCAGGAGGGGGTCAGTGTACAAACGCACGAGCATGCTCAACTCGACGCATTTGTGAAGTGTTTGCACCTCTTCCGCCAGCGGTCCAAAGAAGCGTGTATGTGTCTCAGCGTATGACTACAACGTATTCACACCACCCAGAACCCGCTAAGTATGCATACTGGCGCTCCAGGAGGGGGTCAGTGTACAAACGCACGAGCATGCTCAACTCGACACGTTTGTGAAGTGTTTACATTCATCCGCCCACGAGGCCCTATACTCACCTGGACGCGTTTGGGGAAGTGTTTTGTTATTTTGTTTGGACTTGTAAAAAAATAAAAAAAAGTGTTTGCCCCTCGTCCGCCACAGTTAATGGGGTGGTCGGGAAGTCTAATGAAGCCTTTATGGATCTCAGCCCATGGCTAAAACGTATTCAGACAATCCAGAACTCGCTAAGTATGCATACTGGCGCTCCAGGAGGGGGTCAGTGTACAAACGCACGAGCATGCTCAACTCGACGCATTTGTGAAGTGTTTGCACCTCTTCCGCCAGCGGTCCAAAGAAGCGTGTATGTGTCTCAGCGTATGACTACAACGTATTCACACCACCCAGAACCCGCTAAGTATGCATACTGGCGCTCCAGGAGGGGGTCAGTGTACAAACGCACGAGCATGCTCAACTCGACGCATTTGTGAAGTGTTTGCACCTCTTCCGCCAGCGGTCCAAAGAAGCGTGTATGTGTCTCAGCGTATGACTACAACGTATTCACACCACCCAGAACCCGCTAAGTATGCATACTGGCGCTCCAGGAGGGGGTCAGTGTACAAACGCACGAGCATGCTCAACTCGACACGTTTGTGAAGTGTTTACATTCATCCGCCCACGAGGCCCTATACTCACCTGGACGCGTTTGGGGAAGTGTTTTGTTATTTTGTTTGGACTTGTAAAAAAATAAAAAAAAGTGTTTGCCCCTCGTCCGCCACAGTTAATGGGGTGGTCGGGAAGTCTAATGAAGCCTTTATGGATCTCAGCCCATGGCTAAAACGTATTCAGACAATCCAGAACTCGCTAAGTATGCATACTGGCGCTCCAGGAGGGGGTCAGTGTACAAACGCACGAGCATGCTCAACTCGACGCATTTGTGAAGTGTTTGCACCTCTTCCGCCAGCGGTCCAAAGAAGCGTGTATGTGTCTCAGCGTATGACTACAACGTATTCACACCACCCAGAACCCGCTAAGTATGCATACTGGCGCTCCAGGAGGGGGTCAGTGTACAAACGCACGAGCATGCTCAACTCGACCGTTTGTGAAGTGTTTACATTCATCCGCCACGGCCTATACTCACCTGGACGCGTTTGGGAAGTGTTTTGTTATTTTTTTGGACTTGTAAAAAATAAAAAAAGTGTTTGCCCTCGTCCCACAGTTAATGGGTGGTCGGGAGTCTAATGAAGCTTTATGGTCTCAGCCATGCTAAACGTATTCAGCAATCCAGAACTCGCTAAGTATGCATACTGGCGCTCCAGGAGGGGGTCAGTGTACAAACGCACGAGCATGCTCAACTCGACACGTTTGTGAAGTGTTTACATTCATCCGCCCACGAGGCCCTATACTCACCTGGACGCGTTTGGGGAAGTGTTTTGTTATTTTGTTTGGACTTGTAAAAAAATAAAAAAAAGTGTTTGCCCCTCGTCCGCCACAGTTAATGGGGTGGTCGGGAAGTCTAATGAAGCCTTTATGGATCTCAGCCCATGGCTAAAACGTATTCAGACAATCCAGAACTCGCTAAGTATGCATACTGGCGCTCCAGGAGGGGGTCAGTGTACAAACGCACGAGCATGCTCAACTCGACGCATTTGTGAAGTGTTTGCACCTCTTCCGCCAGCGGTCCAAAGAAGCGTGTATGTGTCTCAGCGTATGACTACAACGTATTCACACCACCCAGAACCCGCTAAGTATGCATACTGGCGCTCCAGGAGGGGGTCAGTGTACAAACGCACGAGCATGCTCAACTCGACGCATTTGTGAAGTGTTTGCACCTCTTCCGCCAGCGGTCCAAAGAAGCGTGTATGTGTCTCAGCGTATGACTACAACGTATTCACACCACCCAGAACCCGCTAAGTATGCATACTGGCGCTCCAGGAGGGGGTCAGTGTACAAACGCACGAGCATGCTCAACTCGACACGTTTGTGAAGTGTTTACATTCATCCGCCCACGAGGCCCTATACTCACCTGGACGCGTTTGGGGAAGTGTTTTGTTATTTTGTTTGGACTTGTAAAAAAATAAAAAAAAGTGTTTGCCCCTCGTCCGCCACAGTTAATGGGGTGGTCGGGAAGTCTAATGAAGCCTTTATGGATCTCAGCCCATGGCTAAAACGTATTCAGACAATCCAGAACTCGCTAAGTATGCATACTGGCGCTCCAGGAGGGGGTCAGTGTACAAACGCACGAGCATGCTCAACTCGACGCATTTGTGAAGTGTTTGCACCTCTTCCGCCAGCGGTCCAAAGAAGCGTGTATGTGTCTCAGCGTATGACTACAACGTATTCACACCACCCAGAACCCGCTAAGTATGCATACTGGCGCTCCAGGAGGGGGTCAGTGTACAAACGCACGAGCATGCTCAACTCGACGCATTTGTGAAGTGTTTGCACCTCTTCCGCCAGCGGTCCAAAGAAGCGTGTATGTGTCTCAGCGTATGACTACAACGTATTCACACCACCCAGAACCCGCTAAGTATGCATACTGGCGCTCCAGGAGGGGGTCAGTGTACAAACGCACGAGCATGCTCAACTCGACACGTTTGTGAAGTGTTTACATTCATCCGCCCACGAGGCCCTATACTCACCTGGACGCGTTTGGGGAAGTGTTTTGTTATTTTGTTTGGACTTGTAAAAAAATAAAAAAAAGTGTTTGCCCCTCGTCCGCCACAGTTAATGGGGTGGTCGGGAAGTCTAATGAAGCCTTTATGGATCTCAGCCCATGGCTAAAACGTATTCAGACAATCCAGAACTCGCTAAGTATGCATACTGGCGCTCCAGGAGGGGGTCAGTGTACAAACGCACGAGCATGCTCAACTCGACGCATTTGTGAAGTGTTTGCACCTCTTCCGCCAGCGGTCCAAAGAAGCGTGTATGTGTCTCAGCGTATGACTACAACGTATTCACACCACCCAGAACCCGCTAAGTATGCATACTGGCGCTCCAGGAGGGGGTCAGTGTACAAACGCACGAGCATGCTCAACTCGACGCATTTGTGAAGTGTTTGCACCTCTTCCGCCAGCGGTCCAAAGAAGCGTGTATGTGTCTCAGCGTATGACTACAACGTATTCACACCACCCAGAACCCGCTAAGTATGCATACTGGCGCTCCAGGAGGGGGTCAGTGTACAAACGCACGAGCATGCTCAACTCGACACGTTTGTGAAGTGTTTACATTCATCCGCCCACGAGGCCCTATACTCACCTGGACGCGTTTGGGGAAGTGTTTTGTTATTTTGTTTGGACTTGTAAAAAAATAAAAAAAAGTGTTTGCCCCTCGTCCGCCACAGTTAATGGGGTGGTCGGGAAGTCTAATGAAGCCTTTATGGATCTCAGCCCATGGCTAAAACGTATTCAGACAATCCAGAACTCGCTAAGTATGCATACTGGCGCTCCAGGAGGGGGTCAGTGTACAAACGCACGAGCATGCTCAACTCGACGCATTTGTGAAGTGTTTGCACCTCTTCCGCCAGCGGTCCAAAGAAGCGTGTATGTGTCTCAGCGTATGACTACAACGTATTCACACCACCCAGAACCCGCTAAGTATGCATACTGGCGCTCCAGGAGGGGGTCAGTGTACAAACGCACGAGCATGCTCAACTCGACGCATTTGTGAAGTGTTTGCACCTCTTCCGCCAGCGGTCCAAAGAAGCGTGTATGTGTCTCAGCGTATGACTACAACGTATTCACACCACCCAGAACCCGCTAAGTATGCATACTGGCGCTCCAGGAGGGGGTCAGTGTACAAACGCACGAGCATGCTCAACTCGACGCATTTGTGAAGTGTTTGCACCTCTTCCGCCAGCGGTCCAAAGAAGCGTGTATGTGTCTCAGCGTATGACTACAACGTATTCACACCACCCAGAACCCGCTAAGTATGCATACTGGCGCTCCAGGAGGGGGTCAGTGTACAAACGCACGAGCATGCTCAACTCGACACGTTTGTGAAGTGTTTACATTCATCCGCCCACGAGGCCCTATACTCACCTGGACGCGTTTGGGGAAGTGTTTTGTTATTTTGTTTGGACTTGTAAAAAAATAAAAAAAAGTGTTTGCCCCTCGTCCGCCACAGTTAATGGGGTGGTCGGGGAGTCTAATGAAGCCTTTATGGATCTCAGCCCATGGCTAAAACGTATTCAGACAATCCAGAACTCGCTAAGTATGCATACTGGCGCTCCAGGAGGGGGTCAGTGTACAAACGCACGAGCATGCTCAACTCGACACGTTTGTGAAGTGTTTACATTCATCCGCCCACGAGGCCCTATACTCACCTGGACGCGTTTGGGGAAGTGTTTTGTTATTTTGTTTGGACTTGTAAAAAAATAAAAAAAAGTGTTTGCCCCTCGTCCGCCACAGTTAATGGGGTGGTCGGGAAGTCTAATGAAGCCTTTATGGATCTCAGCCCATGGCTAAAACGTATTCAGACAATCCAGAACTCGCTAAGTATGCATACTGGCGCTCCAGGAGGGGGTCAGTGTACAAACGCACGAGCATGCTCAACTCGACGCATTTGTGAAGTGTTTGCACCTCTTCCGCCAGCGGTCCAAAGAAGCGTGTATGTGTCTCAGCGTATGACTACAACGTATTCACACCACCCAGAACCCGCTAAGTATGCATACTGGCGCTCCAGGAGGGGGTCAGTGTACAAACGCACGAGCATGCTCAACTCGACGCATTTGTGAAGTGTTTGCACCTCTTCCGCCAGCGGTCCAAAGAAGCGTGTATGTGTCTCAGCGTATGACTACAACGTATTCACACCACCCAGAACCCGCTAAGTATGCATACTGGCGCTCCAGGAGGGGGTCAGTGTACAAACGCACGAGCATGCTCAACTCGACACGTTTGTGAAGTGTTTACATTCATCCGCCCACGAGGCCCTATACTCACCTGGACGCGTTTGGGGAAGTGTTTTGTTATTTTGTTTGGACTTGTAAAAAAATAAAAAAAAGTGTTTGCCCCTCGTCCGCCACAGTTAATGGGGTGGTCGGGAAGTCTAATGAAGCCTTTATGGATCTCAGCCCATGGCTAAAACGTATTCAGACAATCCAGAACTCGCTAAGTATGCATACTGGCGCTCCAGGAGGGGGTCAGTGTACAAACGCACGAGCATGCTCAACTCGACGCATTTGTGAAGTGTTTGCACCTCTTCCGCCAGCGGTCCAAAGAAGCGTGTATGTGTCTCAGCGTATGACTACAACGTATTCACACCACCCAGAACCCGCTAAGTATGCATACTGGCGCTCCAGGAGGGGGTCAGTGTACAAACGCACGAGCATGCTCAACTCGACACGTTTGTGAAGTGTTTACATTCATCCGCCCACGAGGCCCTATACTCACCTGGACGCGTTTGGGGAAGTGTTTTGTTATTTTGTTTGGACTTGTAAAAAAATAAAAAAAAGTGTTTGCCCCTCGTCCGCCACAGTTAATGGGGTGGTCGGGAAGTCTAATGAAGCCTTTATGGATCTCAGCCCATGGCTAAAACGTATTCAGACAATCCAGAACTCGCTAAGTATGCATACTGGCGCTCCAGGAGGGGGTCAGTGTACAAACGCACGAGCATGCTCAACTCGACGCATTTGTGAAGTGTTTGCACCTCTTCCGCCAGCGGTCCAAAGAAGCGTGTATGTGTCTCAGCGTATGACTACAACGTATTCACACCACCCAGAACCCGCTAAGTATGCATACTGGCGCTCCAGGAGGGGGTCAGTGTACAAACGCACGAGCATGCTCAACTCGACGCATTTGTGAAGTGTTTGCACCTCTTCCGCCAGCGGTCCAAAGAAGCGTGTATGTGTCTCAGCGTATGACTACAACGTATTCACACCACCCAGAACCCGCTAAGTATGCATACTGGCGCTCCAGGAGGGGGTCAGTGTACAAACGCACGAGCATGCTCAACTCGACGCATTTGTGAAGTGTTTGCACCTCTTCCGCCAGCGGTCCAAAGAAGCGTGTATGTGTCTCAGCGTATGACTACAACGTATTCACACCACCCAGAACCCGCTAAGTATGCATACTGGCGCTCCAGGAGGGGGTCAGTGTACAAACGCACGAGCATGCTCAACTCGACGCATTTGTGAAGTGTTTGCACCTCTTCCGCCAGCGGTCCAAAGAAGCGTGTATGTGTCTCAGCGTTGACTACAACGTATTCACACCACCCAGAACCCGCTAAGTATGCATACTGGCGCTCCAGGAGGGGGTCAGTGTACAAACGCACGAGCATGCTCAACTCGACGCATTTGTGAAGTGTTTGCACCTCTTCCGCCAGCGGTCCAAAGAAGCGTGTATGTGTCTCAGCGTGTGACTACAACGTATTCACACCACCCAGAACCCGCTAAGTATGCATACTGGCGCTCCAGGAGGGGGTCAGTGTACAAACGCACGAGCATGCTCAACTCGACGCATTTGTGAAGTGTTTGCACCTCTTCCGCCAGCGGTCCAAAGAAGCGTGTATGTGTCTCAGCGTATGACTACAACGTATTCACACCACCCAGAACCCGCTAAGTATGCATACTGGCGCTCCAGGAGGGGGTCAGTGTACAAACGCACGAGCATGCTCAACTCGACACGTTTGTGAAGTGTTTACATTCATCCGCCCACGAGGCCCTATACTCACCTGGACGCGTTTGGGGAAGTGTTTTGTTATTTTGTTTGGACTTGTAAAAAAATAAAAAAAAGTGTTTGCCCCTCGTCCGCCACAGTTAATGGGGTGGTCGGGAAGTCTAATGAAGCCTTTATGGATCTCAGCCCATGGCTAAAACGTATTCAGACAATCCAGAACTCGCTAAGTATGCATACTGGCGCTCCAGGAGGGGGTCAGTGTACAAACGCACGAGCATGCTCAACTCGACGCATTTGTGAAGTGTTTGCACCTCTTCCGCCAGCGGTCCAAAGAAGCGTGTATGTGTCTCAGCGTATGACTACAACGTATTCACACCACCCAGAACCCGCTAAGTATGCATACTGGCGCTCCAGGAGGGGGTCAGTGTACAAACGCACGAGCATGCTCAACTCGACGCATTTGTGAAGTGTTTGCACCTCTTCCGCCAGCGGTCCAAAGAAGCGTGTATGTGTCTCAGCGTATGACTACAACGTATTCACACCACCCAGAACCCGCTAAGTATGCATACTGGCGCTCCAGGAGGGGGTCAGTGTACAAACGCACGAGCATGCTCAACTCGACGCATTTGTGAAGTGTTTGCACCTCTTCCGCCAGCGGTCCAAAGAAGCGTGTATGTGTCTCAGCGTATGACTACAACGTATTCACACCACCCAGAACCCGCTAAGTATGCATACTGGCGCTCCAGGAGGGGGTCAGTGTACAAACGCACGAGCATGCTCAACTCGACGCATTTGTGAAGTGTTTGCACCTCTTCCGCCAGCGGTCCAAAGAAGCGTGTATGTGTCTCAGCGTATGACTACAACGTATTCACACCACCCAGAACCCGCTAAGTATGCATACTGGCGCTCCAGGAGGGGGTCAGTGTACAAACGCACGAGCATGCTCAACTCGACACGTTTGTGAAGTGTTTACATTCATCCGCCCACGAGGCCCTATACTCACCTGGACGCGTTTGGGGAAGTGTTTTGTTATTTTGTTTGGACTTGTAAAAAAATAAAAAAAAGTGTTTGCCCCTCGTCCGCCACAGTTAATGGGGTGGTCGGGAAGTCTAATGAAGCCTTTATGGATCTCAGCCCATGGCTAAAACGTATTCAGACAATCCAGAACTCGCTAAGTATGCATACTGGCGCTCCAGGAGGGGGTCAGTGTACAAACGCACGAGCATGCTCAACTCGACGCATTTGTGAAGTGTTTGCACCTCTTCCGCCAGCGGTCCAAAGAAGCGTGTATGTGTCTCAGCGTATGACTACAACGTATTCACACCACCCAGAACCCGCTAAGTATGCATACTGGCGCTCCAGGAGGGGGTCAGTGTACAAACGCACGAGCATGCTCAACTCGACGCATTTGTGAAGTGTTTGCACCTCTTCCGCCAGCGGTCCAAAGAAGCGTGTATGTGTCTCAGCGTATGACTACAACGTATTCACACCACCCAGAACCCGCTAAGTATGCATACTGGCGCTCCAGGAGGGGGTCAGTGTACAAACGCACGAGCATGCTCAACTCGACACGTTTGTGAAGTGTTTACATTCATCCGCCCACGAGGCCCTATACTCACCTGGACGCGTTTGGGGAAGTGTTTTGTTATTTTGTTTGGACTTGTAAAAAAATAAAAAAAAGTGTTTGCCCCTCGTCCGCCACAGTTAATGGGGTGGTCGGGAAGTCTAATGAAGCCTTTATGGATCTCAGCCCATGGCTAAAACGTATTCAGACAATCCAGAACTCGCTAAGTATGCATACTGGCGCTCCAGGAGGGGGTCAGTGTACAAACGCACGAGCATGCTCAACTCGACGCATTTGTGAAGTGTTTGCACCTCTTCCGCCAGCGGTCCAAAGAAGCGTGTATGTGTCTCAGCGTATGACTACAACGTATTCACACCACCCAGAACCCGCTAAGTATGCATACTGGCGCTCCAGGAGGGGGTCAGTGTACAAACGCACGAGCATGCTCAACTCGACGCATTTGTGAAGTGTTTGCACCTCTTCCGCCAGCGGTCCAAAGAAGCGTGTATGTGTCTCAGCGTATGACTACAACGTATTCACACCACCCAGAACCCGCTAAGTATGCATACTGGCGCTCCAGGAGGGGGTCAGTGTACAAACGCACGAGCATGCTCAACTCGACGCATTTGTGAAGTGTTTGCACCTCTTCCGCCAGCGGTCCAAAGAAGCGTGTATGTGTCTCAGCGTATGACTACAACGTATTCACACCACCCAGAACCCGCTAAGTATGCATACTGGCGCTCCAGGAGGGGGTCAGTGTACAAACGCACGAGCATGCTCAACTCGACGCATTTGTGAAGTGTTTGCACCTCTTCCGCCAGCGGTCCAAAGAAGCGTGTATGTGTCTCAGCGTATGACTACAACGTATTCACACCACCCAGAACCCGCTAAGTATGCATACTGGCGCTCCAGGAGGGGGTCAGTGTACAAACGCACGAGCATGCTCAACTCGACACGTTTGTGAAGTGTTTACATTCATCCGCCCACGAGGCCCTATACTCACCTGGACGCGTTTGGGGAAGTGTTTTGTTATTTTGTTTGGACTTGTAAAAAAATAAAAAAAAGTGTTTGCCCCTCGTCCGCCACAGTTAATGGGGTGGTCGGGAAGTCTAATGAAGCCTTTATGGATCTCAGCCCATGGCTAAAACGTATTCAGACAATCCAGAACTCGCTAAGTATGCATACTGGCGCTCCAGGAGGGGGTCAGTGTACAAACGCACGAGCATGCTCAACTCGACGCATTTGTGAAGTGTTTGCACCTCTTCCGCCAGCGGTCCAAAGAAGCGTGTATGTGTCTCAGCGTATGACTACAACGTATTCACACCACCCAGAACCCGCTAAGTATGCATACTGGCGCTCCAGGAGGGGGTCAGTGTACAAACGCACGAGCATGCTCAACTCGACGCATTTGTGAAGTGTTTGCACCTCTTCCGCCAGCGGTCCAAAGAAGCGTGTATGTGTCTCAGCGTATGACTACAACGTATTCACACCACCCAGAACCCGCTAAGTATGCATACTGGCGCTCCAGGAGGGGGTCAGTGTACAAACGCACGAGCATGCTCAACTCGACACGTTTGTGAAGTGTTTACATTCATCCGCCCACGAGGCCCTATACTCACCTGGACGCGTTTGGGGAAGTGTTTTGTTATTTTGTTTGGACTTGTAAAAAAATAAAAAAAAGTGTTTGCCCCTCGTCCGCCACAGTTAATGGGGTGGTCGGGAAGTCTAATGAAGCCTTTATGGATCTCAGCCCATGGCTAAAACGTATTCAGACAATCCAGAACTCGCTAAGTATGCATACTGGCGCTCCAGGAGGGGGTCAGTGTACAAACGCACGAGCATGCTCAACTCGACGCATTTGTGAAGTGTTTGCACCTCTTCCGCCAGCGGTCCAAAGAAGCGTGTATGTGTCTCAGCGTATGACTACAACGTATTCACACCACCCAGAACCCGCTAAGTATGCATACTGGCGCTCCAGGAGGGGGTCAGTGTACAAACGCACGAGCATGCTCAACTCGACACGTTTGTGAAGTGTTTACATTCATCCGCCCACGAGGCCCTATACTCACCTGGACGCGTTTGGGGAAGTGTTTTGTTATTTTGTTTGGACTTGTAAAAAAATAAAAAAAAGTGTTTGCCCCTCGTCCGCCACAGTTAATGGGGTGGTCGGGAAGTCTAATGAAGCCTTTATGGATCTCAGCCCATGGCTAAAACGTATTCAGACAATCCAGAACTCGCTAAGTATGCATACTGGCGCTCCAGGAGGGGGTCAGTGTACAAACGCACGAGCATGCTCAACTCGACGCATTTGTGAAGTGTTTGCACCTCTTCCGCCAGCGGTCCAAAGAAGCGTGTATGTGTCTCAGCGTATGACTACAACGTATTCACACCACCCAGAACCCGCTAAGTATGCATACTGGCGCTCCAGGAGGGGGTCAGTGTACAAACGCACGAGCATGCTCAACTCGACGCATTTGTGAAGTGTTTGCACCTCTTCCGCCAGCGGTCCAAAGAAGCGTGTATGTGTCTCAGCGTATGACTACAACGTATTCACACCACCCAGAACCCGCTAAGTATGCATACTGGCGCTCCAGGAGGGGGTCAGTGTACAAACGCACGAGCATGCTCAACTCGACACGTTTGTGAAGTGTTTACATTCATCCGCCCACGAGGCCCTATACTCACCTGGACGCGTTTGGGGAAGTGTTTTGTTATTTTGTTTGGACTTGTAAAAAAATAAAAAAAAGTGTTTGCCCCTCGTCCGCCACAGTTAATGGGGTGGTCGGGAAGTCTAATGAAGCCTTTATGGATCTCAGCCCATGGCTAAAACGTATTCAGACAATCCAGAACTCGCTAAGTATGCATACTGGCGCTCCAGGAGGGGGTCAGTGTACAAACGCACGAGCATGCTCAACTCGACGCATTTGTGAAGTGTTTGCACCTCTTCCGCCAGCGGTCCAAAGAAGCGTGTATGTGTCTCAGCGTATGACTACAACGTATTCACACCACCCAGAACCCGCTAAGTATGCATACTGGCGCTCCAGGAGGGGGTCAGTGTACAAACGCACGAGCATGCTCAACTCGACGCATTTGTGAAGTGTTTGCACCTCTTCCGCCAGCGGTCCAAAGAAGCGTGTATGTGTCTCAGCGTATGACTACAACGTATTCACACCACCCAGAACCCGCTAAGTATGCATACTGGCGCTCCAGGAGGGGGTCAGTGTACAAACGCACGAGCATGCTCAACTCGACACGTTTGTGAAGTGTTTACATTCATCCGCCCACGAGGCCCTATACTCACCTGGACGCGTTTGGGGAAGTGTTTTGTTATTTTGTTTGGACTTGTAAAAAAATAAAAAAAAGTGTTTGCCCCTCGTCCGCCACAGTTAATGGGGTGGTCGGGAAGTCTAATGAAGCCTTTATGGATCTCAGCCCATGGCTAAAACGTATTCAGACAATCCAGAACTCGCTAAGTATGCATACTGGCGCTCCAGGAGGGGGTCAGTGTACAAACGCACGAGCATGCTCAACTCGACGCATTTGTGAAGTGTTTGCACCTCTTCCGCCAGCGGTCCAAAGAAGCGTGTATGTGTCTCAGCGTATGACTACAACGTATTCACACCACCCAGAACCCGCTAAGTATGCATACTGGCGCTCCAGGAGGGGGTCAGTGTACAAACGCACGAGCATGCTCAACTCGACACGTTTGTGAAGTGTTTACATTCATCCGCCCACGAGGCCCTATACTCACCTGGACGCGTTTGGGGAAGTGTTTTGTTATTTTGTTTGGACTTGTAAAAAAATAAAAAAAAGTGTTTGCCCCTCGTCCGCCACAGTTAATGGGGTGGTCGGGAAGTCTAATGAAGCCTTTATGGATCTCAGCCCATGGCTAAAACGTATTCAGACAATCCAGAACTCGCTAAGTATGCATACTGGCGCTCCAGGAGGGGGTCAGTGTACAAACGCACGAGCATGCTCAACTCGACGCATTTGTGAAGTGTTTGCACCTCTTCCGCCAGCGGTCCAAAGAAGCGTGTATGTGTCTCAGCGTATGACTACAACGTATTCACACCACCCAGAACCCGCTAAGTATGCATACTGGCGCTCCAGGAGGGGGTCAGTGTACAAACGCACGAGCATGCTCAACTCGACGCATTTGTGAAGTGTTTGCACCTCTTCCGCCAGCGGTCCAAAGAAGCGTGTATGTGTCTCAGCGTATGACTACAACGTATTCACACCACCCAGAACCCGCTAAGTATGCATACTGGCGCTCCAGGAGGGGGTCAGTGTACAAACGCACGAGCATGCTCAACTCGACACGTTTGTGAAGTGTTTACATTCATCCGCCCACGAGGCCCTATACTCACCTGGACGCGTTTGGGGAAGTGTTTTGTTATTTTGTTTGGACTTGTAAAAAAATAAAAAAAAGTGTTTGCCCCTCGTCCGCCACAGTTAATGGGGTGGTCGGGAAGTCTAATGAAGCCTTTATGGATCTCAGCCCATGGCTAAAACGTATTCAGACAATCCAGAACTCGCTAAGTATGCATACTGGCGCTCCAGGAGGGGGTCAGTGTACAAACGCACGAGCATGCTCAACTCGACGCATTTGTGAAGTGTTTGCACCTCTTCCGCCAGCGGTCCAAAGAAGCGTGTATGTGTCTCAGCGTTTGTCGTATAGCATCCATCAAGTCATAAGCTCGTCACGTGTTCGATGCTGTTTTGGTTGGTCATTAATAGTAATCTCTGATATTAAAATATTTATAAAAATCATTAGAGAGCAAAAAAGGTGACTTTAAAAAGACGAAGTGACTGGTGGGATACGATGAAATAAATATTAACAAAAGAAAAAGAAAAAAATAGAGGCATGTATCGTGTCATGTAGCTTCACTGATAATTGGCTTCCTCAATCTCTCCACCTCCGAACATAAATTTTTCAATTGAAATAGTTGCCACACGCTCCGCACGCTCCACAAATTCTACAAGTTCTACACGTTCCACAGCTTTACCAAATCCATCGGGTGTACAACATATTATCCAAGCACAACGAGCTCGGCGGGCTGTGCAATGTATCAAAGAACGAACCGTAGGCGCTGAAGAGGAACTAATACAAAGCCAACAACAGGCAGTAAAGAGTGCTGCAGAAGGGTTGTATGATGGGTTCTACAGCTCCATTGACGAATACGCCCTGCTTGCTTTACTCGAACAAGAGGGGAAAGATGAGAAAAAGAGTGAAAGTGAAGAGGAGGAAAGGAAACTTGGAGAAAGAAAGGCAAGCAAAACTGTGATTCCAGCTGAGATTGGCAGCAGGAATGCTTGAACATCGGCTGCTCTTCTCATTATAAGTATATTTGTCCTTCTCTGGAGCAGCCAGCCCCCGCAACTCCTCCGCCACCAGTTTATCAATCACAATCTTCAGAGAAGATGAATGAAGCGTATGTGCACTATGAATATGCACCCATCAATTGCCCCAGATGTTTTGCGGAGCTGTTGTTTGATGTAGAGCCTTTGAATATAAAGCTGTGGAGGGCGGAAAAAATAAATGATCGTCAATAAACGTCGCCAGAGCTCTGTTTTCTGTAGGAGAATCCAGTGCTCCTATTTGAACTGAAATTTAGTCAATTGATATTTATGTTTATAAACTGAAACATCATAATAGACAAAATTTCAGTCCGAATAGGAGCACTGGGAGAATCCATAAAGACTGGTCAAAATGAAAATCATTCTCATTTTGACCAGTTTTTATTTCTGGCGGTGAAATAGAATAAAAGTGCCAAAACTTATCCATCGATAATGTGGTAGAGGATATAGTAGGTAGGCAGCGCTGCCAAAGGCCTTTTCTATCTTTTTCACCCAACACAATTGCAATATTGTCAATTTGAATTTTTCTCTCAGCACCTAGATTTCATAAAGACATGGTCCGCACCTGTAGTCTGTGCAACAGTGAAAAGCGTGATAGGCGGCTCTGCCCTCAAAAAACAGAGCGTGTTGAGCTTCGCACAAACCTTCCCTCCGCTTCACGCCTGGATCAGGTTATTGGCCCCACGAGAGGGTAAAGAAGTTTTTATTTTATTTTTATTTTTATTTTTTTTATTTAGCCCTCTATTATTTTATTTTCATCATATACACTATCATGCAAAACTGATTGAATAATTCATACCCATGTGCATTTCTTATTTTCATTCCTAGAAACCGTATATGCATACACCACTCATACTTTGGTTTAATAAAGTTCCCGTCTTCTTCTACGTCATAGTTATGCGTTGTGACATTAGCTTGTCTCATTCGGAAAGTTAATGACTTTTTTATTCATGCAGGTCACTTTTTCAGTTTTGCATGTGGTCTAAAATGTTGCCCATGACAACTGCTGGACGTCATTTAATGCAAGTAAAAGGACTTTTCTCTCTTTCCTTTATGAACACTTGCTTAACTCTCTCTTAACTATACCTTCACAGAATATGAGACCCACTCCACAAAGGAAAGTCAACGAAGCCAGGAGGTTAATGATGGGAGGTATGTCTACTAGAGAAACTGCTGCTAGTGTTGGTATATCAATAGCGACGGCCACCAGGATCTATGCACATAATAAGGAGTACATGCCAGTCAATAAAGGTGGTCGACCAAGGAAAGTACCTAGAGATACCATGCAGTATCTTAAGGTGAACATGAAACGAGGTACACTCAAGACTGCAGTTGAGGCCACCGTCAGAGCCAACCAGCTCACACCAGCAGCTGTTTCTGAGACCACCGTTAGACGACGGCTCAAGGAGTTAGGATGGACAGCAAAGAAGCGTGTACGTAAGCCAGCTTTACGTCGACGGCATATTAAAGCTCGTTTGCATTTTATCAAAAAGTATAAGGAATGGACTCTGGAAGATTGGAAAAAGGTTATTTGGTCAGATGAATCGAAAATAAACCGAATCTGCTCTGATGGCGTGCAGTGGATCTGGGACGACACTCCGGGACGCCTCACTCGCAGGTCGGTGCAAGGCACTGTCAGGTTTGGAGGTGGTAACGTTAAAGTGTGGTCATGCTTCTCATGGTACTGACCTGGATACATTGCAAAGATTGACAATAATATGGACGCACAACTTTACATCAAACTACTCCAGGAGGAACTCAAGACGTCGCTTGATGACTGGGGCCTAACTAAAAGCGATATCGTCTTTCAGCACGACAATGACTCGAAGCACACGGCGAAGATTGTTAGGAAGTATTTGGAGTCAGTACATCTGACAGAAGAGGAAGGTACACTTCTAGAGTGGCCAGCACAATCCCCTGACCTCAACCCTATTGAACACATGTGGGCAGAATTGGATAGGCGGCTCTCTAGGTATCCGGAGCGAGCTAAGAGCTGTGATGAACTATGGGAGCGAATATCGGTTGAATGGTACAGGATCCCAGTGGACTTCTGCCGCAAACTCATCATAGGTATCCATAAGAGACTCCAAGCTGTCAGCGATGCCCATAGTTGGAATACTACTTATTGATGTAAGGTTATGGCTCAAAAAATTATAAAGATCTTTGACCACCGGATGTGCACATGCAACACTGAAAAAGTGATCTGAATGAATAAAAAAGTCATTAGTTTTCTAAATGAGACAAGCTAATGTCACAACGCATAACTATGACGTAGAAGAAGACGGGAGCTTTATTAAACCAAAGTATGAGTGGTGTATGCATATACGGTTTCTCGGAATGAAAAAAAGAAATGCACATGGGTATGAATTATTCAATCAGTTTTGCATGATAGTGTATACAGTAAAGTCATTCAATGAATTAGGAATTTCGACATTCTCATTCCTTTCTCCAATTTGATCTTGCTTGTCGCCAATGAAACTTTCGTAGTGAGTTCGACCATCGACAAAGTCACTCCTACAACAATGTCAATGAGCTCCTGTTGCTAATTGAAAATTTAGATGAATGCCAATTATTGGCATCTCATTGAATGACATTTGAAGAAAATCAGCAGCTTTGCTTTATTTGTTTTTTTTTCTGTTCTTCAGTAATGTGTACGACCTCCTTTCTTGCGATGTAGCTCCTCTACCCTTCGTGGCATACTTTCATATAGCTCATCAAGGAAGTCAGGTGGAATAGATGTCCAGATATCCTGTAGTCTTTCCCATAGTTCATCCAGATCCTTTGGTACCTTCTCATATCCCTTGAGCCGATGATCCATGTAGGCCCATACATTCTCGATAGGGTTGAGGTCAGGAGAATTTGGAGGCCACTCCAAAGTGGTAATGTGTGACTTAATAAAGAACTCTTTAACCATCCTACTCGTATGAACACTTGCATTGTCCTGCTGAAAAATTGACTTTCAGGGTCCTGGCCATACCACTTCCACGAGCCGAGGACATAACCCTGTAGAACATCAACATATAAAGAGGAATCAACCGTGACAGGGGTCCTGCCACCATCGCCTACACCATGATAAGTGATACAGCCCCACCACATAAGTTTGTTATGTGCTCCCCTTGATCTCTCTCTAACATCTCGATCTTCTAAAGTCCTGTGGCCGGGTCGCCTATATTGTGTTCTTCCTCCTAAGGACCCTAGCCTTTCAAAAAGCTTTTCGTCCGAGAACATCACTCGCTTCCAGTCATCAACAGTCCAGTCAAGGTGGTTGAGGGCAAAATTCTTCCTTTTCGCAATCTGCATTTTTGTCGGCCTAGGCTTGAATGGGCGGCCATAGTTTTTCAAACCCTCTGATTTTACATAGCGTCGGGCAGTCTCTACACTGACATGCACTCCATGACTCGATCTGATGTATTCTTGAACTGCCAGGATGGATCTAAGTTTCCCCGTATCAACCTCGCGTGCAATAACCCTCTTGGTAGCAGGCGAAACCAATGAGGGTCTGCCCATTCTGGGTTTAGGAATATTGTCCTTGACGTCCCTCCTGATCCTTATTGCCGATGAAATAGAGATACCAAGTTGCCTTGCCACTTCGCTTGTAGACTTCCCTTGTCGAAGTAAGGCCTGAACATTTTGTACCTTTTCCATAGAAAGCCTCCTCATAATAAATACTAAGCGATGTGGCATGTTAATTGTAAGTAGAGGTGTATGAAGATATAGCTGAAGGTAACCTTGGTAGAAAAAAGAGAAGTGAAAAAGTTTTTTTTGCAATCAACATTCAAAATCAGCAAAGTCATTCAATAGACAGGTCAAATTGAAATTGGTTTTATTTCACAATGAAGTCATAATTAAGAATGAGACATGAAAGTAATCATGAGTGTGGGGAACAAATGCACTACCCCAAATACACTAGCCACATGCTAGATGAGAATGAAGAAAAGGAATGAGAATGTTAAAAATTCAAAATCATTGAATGACTTTTGATGACCACTGTACTAGGGACCAGTGCTCCTATTCGAGGCTTTGATTTATCTATATACTAAAGTCGTAAGGTTTTGTGACTGTGTGCTAAGTAACTTTTTGGTCACGAGACACTACACACAAAAAAACCGGCCTCACCCGTAATAAAGCTGAGTTAATAAACCACGTTTATACATATTTCGATGTGTGTGTTCATATTCATCTCTGCAAGTCTGTGCGTTCCAATAAACATTAGGTTACAGGAGTGTATAAAAGGCAAAAAAAAAGGTCTTCTACCTCAAACCGTCCATATCATACTTGCTTTCTTCTACACTTAACCCTCACTTTTATTATATTGTGCATTGCACATAAAAGCAACACCATGAAAGAAGCTCGCAATTCTCATTGGCCCACTCCAAAGATTCATTCGACAAGGAGTCAAACTCTGAGGGCAAAACAAAATTCTTCTTTCTTCTCCCTATGCCCCATCTCCTGCGAGAGGAAGCAAAAGAAAGTAGGAGAGCGAAGCGACCTCATTCACTATGAAGGAAATTAAGAGAGAAAAAGTGAATCCGACATTTCGCCTCAAGCTCTTCCTTCTCATGCTCAACGTATAACCAGGAACAACATAGGAAAGAAGGCTACCATCACTTCTCTTTCGGCTTCTTTCATGGATCCTTTGCCCTCCGCGAACGCTTTTCCTTCCACATCATCCCTTATGTGCTTGAACACAGAAGCTGCCGAGTCGTTAGACTGCTCCCTTTGTCAAAAAAAGCCATCGGGCTCCAACGCCCGGTGTATGACTTGGAAACTAACCCAAGCAGACAATCGAGAGCCTTATGTGCACCTACAAGATCCATATGAGCAGGAGTGGGTGAAGCTTGGTGATTTGGATCCAAAAGAAGTTGAGCAGGCGTTTTCATTATTGGAGAAATGGGAAAACTTTAGTGACTTGAACGTCGATGATGTCGAGAGGGCATTCGCGCCCATTGAGAAAGGTGT